AATGTTTATCTAAAAGATTTTCTTTCGGCCCGACAGAGGTCTGCTCAGCAGCCAGCCATGAGCACACTCTGTAGCCCTCCGGAGAGTCACCTATCTTTATACCCATGGTTACGTGTACAATATTTATCATTTTTCCCCAATCCTTTTTATTTTTATTGTCTGGTGCACTTTCAGTAATGACCAATCCCAAAGTGCCACCATCACCAAAGAAGATGGAAGAGAAGAAGAAGAAGAAGAAGGACAGGACACGCCCCAATTCCTCCATCTTACTTCTCTAAACCCCCCTGTACATAAATCCTAAACCCTGTGTCTCACCCTCTAATTAACTAATCCCTTCACCATTCACCCCGGTGAAGTCCTCCTATCCTCATACAGGTGTCGTCTCCCGTGTAGGATCAAAGTCCAGCCACCAGACACTTCTGGCAACATTCCAGGACTCCCGAGCCCCCCAAGGGTGGTCTCGGTGGCTCGGCACCTCAGTCCTGAGGTGCTGAGATCCCACACCTTCCCTCCCTAGATACTAGAATTAAAAATGTAACTTTCTTGTCTTGATCAGTGAAGATCAATTCTGTATGCAGGTCAGCCCTTGTTTTCACTTGCTCCCACATTTATTTAAGGGTTTTGTTTGGGAACCAGCAGATGAAATTACTTGGTGCTCTCCACATTATATTTAGGTTTAGTCTGGGTGCTACTATGGTCAAACATCAGTTATGCCACCTATTTAGATGGATAAATGACATCAAGATCACACACACTGAAAACTAGAAAATAGTTGTTAACTGAATTCGTGTTTCCTAAAAATAACTTTTGACAAGAAGCCTCTATACTGGATGCAAATTCATGCCAAGACCATGGTACATCCATTTTTTCCTCTCTGTAGGTGTGCCTCTGAGGTTGTTGCAGACAGACTAGCTCTCTGGAAAATGCTATAAACCCACACAGTCCCAGGAACCAGGTGACCTTGTCCTCATTACATCCATAATTTTTCCAAAGAGAAACTCTGTTGTGCAGAGCCCTGAATCCTTGTTCCCTAATACTGTACTTCTTTTCAGGTTTGGGAAAGTGCTGCCATCCTCAAAGAGACACCTCATATGTCACTTCTCTCTTCCCACTCAACTCACACACCAGCATTTTGGTTTATTTGTTTATCAGTTTTACACATAAAATTTTCAAAACCCAGATAAACCATGTTGCCCTTGTGTATAATGATGCAAATCAGTGTAAAGCATTTACATTATGTAGGTCACTTGTTCAAATCTATCTGTAAAATATTTACATTGTGTAGTTCACCTGAAGACATCTACTTATGAGGAAAGCCTTCAGAATATTATACTAGAAGTCAGAGAAGCAAATATCACTTCATAAAAGAAAAGCCTTTGTTTCTTTACTTTCCTTTTGTATTCAAGATGCCTCTGAGTATGTAACAGCAATTCTCTAAATACCTAATTTTTTTCTTATATCCATATTTTCTCTCCTCCTCTGGTTTTGAAGAAGGATCTGAGGTATTTAACTTTCTTATGGCATCAGTGCTCTGTATACCAAAAGTTCTGGGTTTTTCCAGTACTCTGTGAAATCCAGCCCTGCACCTACAGCCAGGTGTGTGATCATACTACTCTTGGAGGATACAGATGGAAAGGAAGAGCAAATGACATGTTTAAACATTACACTTATTGACAAATCCAATTTGTTCTCTAGGTACAGACTAGCAATTGCTTGAAAATAATTGAAAATTTTCAATGTTCCCTCCAACATTGATCTGTTCATCCACAACTTTCTCCCTTCAAAGAACAGATATCCAAGGGGACTGACTCTTCTCCACACTTGCATCCACCTTTTTCCCATCTGCCCACAAAACACTTGTAGTCCTTATCATCTTTAATATTCTACACTTGGAAGCAGTGAGTCCTGTGCTGTTCTCTGGATGCCCTTGACCTAGACTGTGTGAGAACTCTAATCTCTGTGCCTGTATCTTCACAACAAGCATTTAGAGTATTTAAAGGGAGGTTTTGGTTGAAATCTCATTACATATGAATGTTCCTGTTAATAGAGTGAAGATTTCTTAACTCAAGCCACATCCTACTCTTCAAAATCCTTCCAGATATTTATTGGGCCAAACTCAGAGCCAACTAGAAGTGGTGATGGAAAGCAGGTCATGGTCTGTATAAGGTCATGGTCTGTTCCCAATGGATGTGAGCCATTCACTTCTCTAGTGTGTTAAAATTTGGTTTTTGGAGTCAAAGCTTTTCCTGATTTTATTTTCTACAGAGTTTGAAAATCCTCTGGGATGATTTACATGAACAAAAAGCTTTATCTTTGGTGCCTGTGAGAGATGTTGGTATTATTTTAGTATTGGTAGAGGGAGAGGTGTTGGTGCAGTTATGGATCTGTACTAATCTAAGCCTTAATGCAGGTTCTCTTCCCTCCTATACAGATGAAGATAATACACATTAAACATCATGTAATGATTTCTCAGCTGTCATGAGTGGTATCTCTTTGACAAAGGAAGAGATGAAGTAACCAAATAATTTTACTCATTCTGACCCTCAAAGTACAACATGGTCACTGATCATTTATTGCTCCCTTATGATTTATGTCAAGACTAGAATCCAGCTAGGTTAACCCAACAGGCAGTGTTTTGCATTCTGTGTAACCAATTTGCATACTGCAATTTAAAGGACACAATCTGAAGCTACACCAGACTGGTCACAAAAGGGCTGGAGGAACAAAAGTGTGAGACTGTTCATTATTACTGGCAATCTGTCCAGTCACTTCCAGGAATAAAACTTTTTATTAGCCAAATCACTCTCAAAACATTGAAACATCCCTCCAATTCTTTCTTTGGCAAAGATGACAACATGTTACAGCCGCTTATGAATCTCTAGCTAAACATATTGGTAGATAAAACAGAACTGAATTCTTCTGTGTACAGTTATCTTTTATATAGATGGAGTTATCTCTGGGGGAGGGATATTCTGACAGTCTATTTAAGCAATGTATAATCCAAATGGTGAACAAATTTAGTTTTTCTGTGGAGAAGTTCATAGATATACAGTTGCCATGACAACTGCATTTGGCTCTGAAAAGGGAAAACAAATGTCTCTTTTTAGACTCAAGTGAAATAAATTTAGTCTGGTTGCATAGAAAAATTGCTTTTTCCCTCTAGTGTCAAATAGTCCTTCTGCAGCAAGTTTCCTTAGCTTCCCTTTTTTAGATTTTAGGGGTTTCTTTTCCTTTTAAAAACAAAAAAAACCCAGCACATTTGTTGGAATTACAAAGGGTGAGAGCACCTCCCTCTCCCTACCCTTCCCATATCCACAACATGATTTTGTGTTCCAAAATTCTACAGATTGCACCCTAGTTACAAAATAATAGAACCAGATTTCCTGCATCTAAGCAGCATAAAAATGCAAACTTATATTCTTAACTTCATCAGATCACAGAAGATTGGGAAAAGTGGGAAAGAGCTGTTATTATTGGACTGTTGGGAATACAGTATATCAGGTCTGAAATGCTCGCTGTGTCTGATGTGAAAGATAGCCAGGATGATTTTTTTTTTCTGTTGGTAGTTGGAGAACTCAAGTGGATTTTAAACCTTTGGTATTGTATATCCTTTATCAGCTCTACTCTTCCAGCACTTGTGCATGCATATCCCTCCCACGATCAAACAGGCCAGAGCAACAGGAATCATTGCAATGTACCAGGACAGACCAGCAGCTGGAAAAGTAAACAAATTAAATATTAGAAAACCAGGAAGAAACAATGAACTCCCAGGAACATATTTCTCTAAGCTCAAGTTGGAAGAGGAGAAATGACAATAAAAAGGATGTCTGCAAGTTAACCTTCCAGCAGGGCTTATCACCTTTGAAAGGAAGAGATCTATTGATTGAGCACTCTGGGAAATGTGTTCATAAAGATAGGAGGAAGGATTGGAAAACAACAGAAAGTGAGAATTTGAAGTTCTATCTTTTGCATACACCCCATTTTCTTAAACTCTGATCAGGAACAGCTGTGTGCTTTCTATCTTGGTTTATTTAAAGAAGAGACATTCCAAACAGGAAATCCAAGCACCTCGTGGAGCATGAATACTTAACAATTAGTCCACCCTCAAGTTGTGTGAATTATTTTTTCATACAGAGCAGCTTATAAATTAGTAACAATCGACCCAAGACTCGGAATTGCTTCCTAAATCTGGCTAATTTCCAAGGCAAGTGTCTGTCCAGGCCATTCTGGATTATTCCAATGCATATTGCCTCCTGGTGCAGCTCATGGAAGACAAGGGCAGCACATGATCCAGCAAAATGAGTACAAATTCCTCATCATAGGGTGCTGGAGTGAGTCATGACTGATAATGAAGTCTAAAGGAGTTCATGTGCCTTTCTAAGAGAGTGTGAGCAAGCTTTGGTGATTCACCAACGTCATGCAAAGAAACAATTAGCATTGCTTCACATTGTTTGTACAGCTGGCTCTTGGCCAATGGTTTATCACACTGCAACTTTAATTGCACTGAGTTTAGGCCTTCTCTTCCCATCACTAGGAGCCAAAGTAACAACGCCCATCATAATTTACACTTCTTGTTGTTTTGGCAGTAGTCTGTGCATGAGGAAAAGTAACACTCTAATCATTTATTCTGTTATTGTCCTTTTTTTTCCCCTACTGGTTGAGGAGCTGGAGGAGATTTGGCTCTGCTGCAAAGAGAGTTTGCCAGTAGTCTCACTGGAACACTTATTTCACAAAGTGTATCTAAACTGGAGTCTTATTCAATAAAGAATAAGACAGCACAGACAGATCCTTATCCCTGCATAAAATGTCAGTACATGACCTACAGAAGGTGCATTTTGTGAACGGGCTGTATCAAAGACTACAGGTGAAAGAGGCAACCAGATTTTCCCCAGGCAGTAACTTATCCCAACACTAGCTCTTACAGTATAAACAGATCAGATGCTAATTTAGCATTAGAATAATAATAAAAATTATCAAAAACAAGCAGTAAAAATAACTACCTTCCTGCTTGACCCTTGTTGGCAGTTCTTGGTATCCATATCTGTTCTGGGCCAGACAGGTAAAGTCTGTGTAAAAGTCCACTTCTTCAACAGAATCAAAAATCAGTGGTACTTCAATGAAGTTTTCACCATTTTCTACACTTTCTCTGGAAGAATAAGAAAGATTAAGTGTTAATTATTTTAATAAGATGGTTTATCTCTACTTGATCTGTTCATTCTAACAGCACATTGCAAGAAAATGCATTGGATATTGCTTCATTTCTCAACCAGCCTCTCAGCATTCAAGGATGCATGCTGTCTTCAGCCCAGCTGTGCTACTTGAGTCCCAGTGGGCAGTACCTGTCTTGCAGCTTTTGGAGTCTAGAGGGAAAAAAAATACCTGGATTTGTCTTGCAAAAATAAAGAAAGGGGAGGGGGAAAAGGCAAGTGGAATTCTGTGTATCTTTGATACATTAGCATTGGGCAAGGACCTAATTCCTTCTCTCTGACCATCAAAGGTTAATTCTTACAATCAGCAGAGGACATATGGAGAACATAACCCTGTACATGTTCTCTGAGAAAACTGAACCACCATTCCTGTCTATCATGTGCTCAAAGCCAATAGCTCAATACAAGAAACTGCCCAAGAAGTTTCTAGCTAATTTCAACATGATTATTTTAGGAGTCCCACTATTTGAAAGTGGTTTTTTAGCTGGAGACAAACACTGTCCCTTGATACCTTTTAGCCATTACCAGAGCAGTTGTCCATTATAAGCCTGCAATGCACAGCAGCAATGGAATTCCCTGGGCACTCCTCCCAGGAGCTCTTTGACAGAGATTTCTGCAGGGAATTTGTTTTCCCAGGGGCATTTGAGCTGTTTTGTCATGCTGCCATAATGAGGGCTTCCAGCAGAACTGGGGTGTCTCACACACTGTGGGTCCTGCAGGAACCTCATCTGTCACTGTCAGTGTCCTTGTGCAATTGCATGACAATATACAACAGCAATAATGATAGTGGTAAGCATAACAAAAATAATTTTTAAAGTGCAAGTAAGAAGGTTCTGCTCTATTCTAAAGCCTGCAGAGACTATAGCTGCAGCACATTTTTATGCTTCCTGGCATTTTCACTTATACATACAAACAAGATTATAGATTAATTTCCCCAGTCATGCTGTGGGGAATGGGAAAAATTCTAAAGGCTTGGGCATACAGCCCAAGGAACCTTCTGGGCTCTGTCCCCCAGTACAGGCAGAGCCACCAGGCAAGGGTAATGATCTGTTTTGGACACTCTGAGCTACATGAAACAAGAAACAAGACAAGCTGACTTGGTTCTCAATGAAGAGATTTCAATCAGAAAGTTCAGCTCACATTTACAAAACCACTAGAGGTGTGCCTGGATGTAGTGAGTTACTCAGGTAACACATCACAGGTACAGAAAGCAGGTATCCTTCCCTTTCCTAGTGGCAAAAGCCTTGAGGTATTAGGCAGCTGAAAGACAGCTCCTCAAGACTGGGAGACACAATGAATCAGGGCAAGAGGATGTGGAACATCCTGTTTCTCCCTCCCACCAGTATTCCCTTCAGTGCTGCCCTAGCATCTGTTCTAGCACTCAGCGGGTGTGTGTGTGAGTCAGTTTAACTCACTAATGTGGAAAAGAACAAGCTTAGGGAGAAAAACAGTGCTATTTAGAAAACCAAACAAAAACCATCAAACCACTAGGTAATTTTCTGTTCTCTTAGTGTATTTTGAGAACCTCATGAATGTGAGGGAGAGAATGTTGCCACTTTGCTGGCATGGGGTAAGGAGAGAGGTAAGAGAAGCACTGGGAAGGATCAAGTCTCCTTGCTTTCCACTGCAGTCAGCCCTCACAACAGCTCAGTTGCTCATGAAAATGTGCTTAAAGTTTGTCTCAAAGTTGCCTCATTTGCAAAATATCTTGTCTCAAAAAACAGAGATAAAGCATTTATTTCATTTACTGGTTGGGCTTGGGGTTTTTTTTTTGCTTGCCTGACCTTTTTTTTCCTCAGTTCTCACATTCACTTAAGATCTGTCCCTTTCCCATTTCATTACTTTGCATTCAGGTGTACCAAGAGCCCCTGTAGCACTGCAGGTTAGAACAATAAGCACAAGGAAGCACTGTCAGCCAGACTTACTGTCGTTCCCCCTCCGTAACTCTGCTTTGTTTATAAACCACGTCAACGCTGCTGTCATTTGCCAGCCATTCCACATCAGTTTGGAAATGGCTGCTCAGCCCAACAAACACTTTGCATGGGAGAGTCATCTTGGAGCCTGTCAAAAAAAAAGATTGAAAAACAGTTTATACACATATGAAGAACTACTCTTTCTTTTGGTGAAAACCACCAACTCCAGGGGGAGATCCCACACATGTCAAGAACCACTACTTTCAAAACTGAAGTTAATCTCCAGATTGCTTTTGATCCTGTATTCCTTGGCAGCAAGACCCTTCAGTGTGGCAGTCCTTCCTGCTGCTAACCAAATAATTTCCCAGTTGCAACACTTACCAATTCCTACACTAAACACATTTCCAGAGGCAAGGCTGCATTCCTGTGGCCTTGCCCTTTCTGACACAGTGCAGCCCAAAGGGCATTGTGTGATTTACCCCTCTGGAGCAGCTGCATTAACCAGCAGCACAGCTTAACTCACAGATGCTGCGGGTGAGGACATTCAGCTGAAGGTTGAACCTCCAGGATAAAGTGATTTTGCAGAAGTTCTGAAATTTTTAATTGCTATAATTACTGTAACTCAAGGATAAAGAGATTTCAGACTGATGTGTATCTATATTATACATAAGTATAGCTATATACCCAGAAGACAGCATCTGGTTGTAGATGTTAAAAAGCAAAAAGTACTCTAGAACCAACCCTCAACTAATATAATTGAAATCAAAAACCTACAGCAATTTATGCCAACAAATTACACCATAAGACGACCTGCTCTAGTTTTTCTCTGACTAAACATTTCCAAATATGATGTTGGGCCTTACCAAGAGCAGCTGATGTTGTCTTTTGGGCTGGATACACAATTATCGGGGTAATTCTCTTCTCTTGTTCTTGGCAGAAAAAGAGAGCAGAGTCAGGGCTAAGACAAGAGAAAATGCGGGCATGGCCCCAGAACCAGAAACATGCCGCTTCACCCAATATCTGTCGTCTCCCAGGAAAGGATTTGATTGCTAAAGCCGCTGGTAAGCAGCGACATTGCCGCTCCGAGCCGGAGCCCCGCGGCTGCGGGCCCGGGCAGGGTCCCCCGAACCTCAGGGACGGCGGGAGGCGTGTGGGGCACGGGCGCCCCCTGCCGGCCGCTCTGCGCAGCAGCGCCCCGGGCCCGCCGCCGTCCCCGCGCTGTGACACACGGCCCGTCCCCGTCTGTGACACACGGCCTGTCCCTTCGCTGTGGCACAGCGGCCTGTCCCCGTCTGTGACACACGGCCTGCCCCCTCGCTGTGGCATAGTGACCTGTCCCCGCCCTGGGACTCCGCCAAATGGCTGATCTCCGAGCTTCCCCGAAGGCCTCGGCAGTGACAAGGCCCCTCCTGCCCCAAGACATGAATTACTCCATTTAACAAACAGGGGTACTTGCAGGAGAGATCCCCGCCCTGCCAGGGGTGCTGTTGGAGCACCTTCAGGGCCAGGACAAGCCCTGCCTTGGCACGGATGAAGGCTGAGCATGAGCTCCTCTCAAGAGTTTCATTAGCAAAGAAGAGGTTTTCTTATGTGCTGTAATGTTTCAGTATGTCCATCACTGAATCACAGAACCACAGAATCTTTTAGTTTAGAAGGAATCTTAAATGTCCCTAAAACCTTTCCTGAAAGTTTCCTAGGACTGCTAGTTCCAATCCTCCTGCCATGGGCATGGACACTTTCCACTAAGCCAGGTCGCTCAAATCCCCTTCCAACCTGGCCTTGAACACTTCCAGGGTGGGGGGTAGAGGCATCCACAATTTCTCTGGCCAACATATGCCAGTGCCCCACTACCCTCACAGTAAAAACTTCCTCCTAATAGCTAATCTCAACCTGCCCTCTTTCAGTTTGGAGCCATTTATCCTTGTCCTGTCACTTCATGCTCTTGTAAGAAGCCCCTCTCCATTTTTCTTACAAGTCCCCTTCAGGTACTGGTAGGCCACAATTCAGTCATACTGAAACCTTCTCTTTTCCAGGCTGAATAAATCAAATTCTCTCAGTCTTTCCTTGTAGGAGAGGTGGTCCATCCCTCTGATCATCTGATACTATACTTACCAACAGTCTCCAGTTGAATTGTCCTGGTGATTTCATACATCACACCTTCAAATGGAAATGACATCTTGCAGGTGTAATACCCCGCGTCTGTTGGTAGCACAGATGTCATGATCAGAGATGCTGAACCATTCAGAATGATGAATCTTTCATTGTCCTCTTCCAAAGGCTGAGCATCCTGGAGAAAGGACAGTAACTGGTGTTACGACTCAGATAGCTACACCCTAATTATCTATTGAGAGAGACAAATTATCTCTGTCTCTCTGTTATTAGAAGTTCACTTACTGCTGGGAAATCTGAGCAGTTCTGCTTTCCCACCAAAGCACAAGTTCTTTTAATGTATATCCATCTCTAAAATGCCTTGTGGCACTATATGGGTGAAGTGTGAAGAATTGCTATTTTAATCTATAATGTGTGTGCATAGCTCTTCCTTAATGCACATTTTAAGATGAAAAACATATAATAGGCCCTTCCTTGAGTCATCTTAAGAGCAATCACACAAGATTTTAGTACCCATGGAGGTTTTCACAATGTTATCCATGCATATCCATGTGTATGTATCCATACTTTCCATACATCACCACAGAAGAGTAATATTCTAAGGCCTTCTTTGAAGACAAATACATAACTGTTACTTACCCTATATTAGAAATTCATGCTCTGTATCCCTAAAGCTCTGTTCATATACAGTCTGGAGATCTGCTAGGAGAAATTATGTTCTCCCTCGTGAAGGCAGGGTAGCTCTTTCTTACATTTGTAACAAGAACCGTATTGAGAGGGGCAGCCTCTCACTTAGAGAAAGTGGGTTATGTTCCCACTTCTGAAGGAAGTCCTGAGCACCAACATTTTGCTGGTATAGTACAGATCATAACCTAGGCACTGCAAGCAGCCTATATATTGCATCCTATGGTAAGGCTAGAGCTGCACAAGGCAGAGCATGTGATCACAGTGGGAGTGTAAATAAAAGCTAAACCGAGGTATTATGGAAATGCAAGAAGAATCTCCTGCTCTCCAGTGTGAAATTGAACAGCCAAGGATGTTGTATTTGATCTTAGAGGCAAAACCAGGCTTGCCTACTTGAAAAGCAGCAAACTGGGCAGTTAGGCAAGAGAACACTCCAAGCATTATGTCATTCATCCAGTATTTCCAAATGGTGTATTCCAGTTGATTAATGAAAGTACCCCACCTGAACACGGAGGCAGTATCCGTGGGAGGTCCTACTTTATGGGATTCACTAGAGCGGCTGTGAAAAGATGCACAGTGCCAAAGAGAAGGGCCTGATATCAGGTGGCAAACCCTGGAGTTGGGTAGATAATCTAGCCTTATAAACAGTTGCATTGCCTGTGAGAGCATGAAACATGTGAAACACTTCACCCTGTGCTGAGTGTGTCCCAGAAAACTTTTCTTAAAATGTATACATCTGCCCCAAAATTCCCAGTATGTTACACTATACTAGTGACTTAATTCAGGAGAAATGTAAAGTCAATATTTATGTGCCAAGCTGAGATGAGGCTATGCACAAAGAGAAAGTAAGTATTCTACCTTGTACCACTTGAGCTCCAGGCTTGTCCTATTTGGTGTAAAATCCCACAGGTCAGGACAAACAATCTTTCCAGCGGTGAAAGTGAAGAGGACCTGGGGATAGGCAATCTCCCAAGCAGCTGTTTTCTCCACAACTGTGAGGTGGATGGAGACCTCAGCACAGTAGGAGTTGTTCCTGGTGACAGAGCAGGGAGAGGTGAGCCCCCAAGAGAACTCAAATGACCCCCTTGGTTTCCCCCTGTCTCCATTTCCCTTCTTAACAGAGGCCAAGACTGAGATCACACCAGGCTGGATGTTGGAAAATCACTGGTACTGTTCTTTTGCCATAGTCAAAACGTGTTGCTGACACATATTTGCCTCAGACCTTCAATATTTTCTTTTTAACACAAGTTTCCTCTGCACCTTTAGGCTGCAGCAGGATTTTAACTGTGTGAGGAGGGGGAACATGTTAACCTGAACAGTAGCAGGTGTGTCATGAACCCTCCCCCATTTCCTTGGAAGAGGTTTTGACTGTGAAAACCCTAATGATTAAATAAAAACCTTAAAGCATGTACTACAATACATCTGCAGTTACTATTGCACAACCACAGACATTTCTGCAAGTACATATAATTTTCTGTAGCAAATAAGGCGTTCTGGCTTTGAAAGGTTCACAAAATTCAACTTTTCTTTCTGGACCCAAGTGACAATCACTTCCAGTCCTAAGGAAGACCACACTGGGAGAGAGAGATGCTTAAATTCCACCTTTTACAATCTCTGGAAGCCTGATTCAGAGATGCCTTTACTCAGGGCAGTGCATGATCCTGGAAGGGGCCAGCGAAGCCAGGGAGACTGGGCTGTAACCTCCAGGAGAGCAGCTGTGGGCTGCAAGCAGACAATGACAGTATAGCCAGGGCACTGTGGCCATCTGTCATATACAGGCCAGATGCCCAAATCCAGAATATTTGCTCCACAGAACACAGAAGCAGAGATCTGTGATAGTTTGCTGCTACCTTCAAAGATAAAAAGATCTGCTGGCTTCCCTGCAGGGTAATTTGTAAAGGAAATGTAACTTGCTTGTGCTTTATTAATCCTGTAATAATGTTAGCAATGAAGTTACCTACTTGGCTCTTGCATCTCTTTTTAAACAAATTTCACAGCATTTTGCTAGATCCCTCAGTAACAATGCTATAGTGTTATATATTGACAAAGTGAGGCAGAATAGCCCAAAAAGGGGATTTAAAAGCACTCTTGAACATCTCAGGTAACTACTCTGTTCTAGAACTGTATTTGCAACCTATTGCTGTTTGGGCTTCACTATCAGTGTCTTTTTTTGTGCTCCACAGCTGAAATTGCTGCTGAGACTTGGGAAAGGCTAATCCAACATGCTGAGCATGATTTCTCAACTTGTCCATCTCTTCTACTGCTGACTTGCATCCCTCACAAGGTGTGCTGTGAAAGCAAGGAGACCATGCTATCCACAAGCAGCTCCAGGAATGTAGAGGTATGTTCTCCAGCATAAACCCCAGAGCCAAGTGCCAGAGGTTTACTGAGAGGCTGGCTGGCAGCAGGAGATGGCAGGAGACAGGGACCTGGAACATCTTCAGAAGTTCAGGCTCTAAGGGTGATGGGATTTTTTGCCTTCCTTGATCCTCAACAAATCCAGACACTGGCACCTCTTTTGACATAGTACAGTGTGCTGTCAGATTGAAAACAGTCAGAAAGAAAATTACCAGTAGGGCTGAAAAGAGCCATGGCTAAAGTCTCAACTCACTGCAATACCACAAGTCTGGTACTAGCCTAGTAAATACACACTGGGTCTCATGAAAATTCTTGCAACAATATCAAGTCAATCAAATTCTGGTTTAAAACATGACTTGGAAAAAAAGTGAAGACCAGGGATATGGAAGTGTGAAGAGGAAAGCCACTGCAGAGCTACGATGCCTTATATACGCTTCATAAGGCAATCTGAGGTGCAACAAGGGTATTTGTGCTCAGCAAACCTGCTGCCTGCAGCATGTCCCACTTGTCATAGCACTGACTGGCTCAGAGGTAACTAGGAAAAACTCTCTATACAATATTCTCCTATGAGATTGTAGTCAAAGTGGCAAGCCCGTGTCACCATTTTACCAGATTTCAGTACTGGTAACTATAGGAGACACAGTGCACTCTAAGGGTCCTGACTTCCCTTATTTGTTCTCTCTAATAAGGTCAGCAAGGAAATTATCCAGAAATGCTCTGAATATAGCTGGAGTTTACAATCAAGGTAATGCATTTAGAAGACATAGCCATTTTTTAGTTAACTAGATTATCTTTTAAATACCTACCTTCTTGTGCAGATATATACTCCTGAGTCTTCTAGCCTCACTGGTAAAAACCAGAGTGCATTTCCTTTTGCCCAGATTCTTGAATCTTCATCTCTTTCTGATATCATGGTGTTCGAACCATTTTTATACCATGTGATATTAGGGGTCAAGGCAGAGAAATCCAAATGTTTGTATCTGGGGGAAGGGCATTTCAGAACCACAGGTTCTCCATGCAGTTCATAGTAGTGTTTGAAAAACACGGTGTGATCTGGGCAGTTTTCTATACAAACCAGAGATATTTTTGCATTACTGTCAGAGAGGAACATTTAAAAGAATGGTGAGGGAAACAAAAGGAAAGAGACAAATGTACACTTACCTGTGTTCTTGACTTGCTGGAGTCTGAAAGCAGATGCACCTACTGTGCACATCACCAGGACAAAGAAGAGCCCATGCATTTTTTTCCACAAGAAATCAGAAGAAGAGGGTGGAAGGAAAATGTTTTGAAATCTACAAGGAAGTTTATTACAAGACAGATTATATAATCAAAATACTCAACATTATTTAAAGAATTAACTGCTATTTTTCTCACTGCAGACCTGGGGAGCTTTGGTCCATCCTCAGTGAGCAGAGATGTGTCTCCATCCCTAGTTTATGGAGGCTGAACTGTGGAACCAGAACATCTGGCTTGGCACACACATATCACTTTTGGTCCTTCCCTTTCACTCCAGAAGATGAGCACAGCATACCACAAGATGCTGCTGTCCCCACAGCTTTTCAGAGTGACAGCTATGGGTGGAAAAATTTAGCTCTGCTTATTTTGCAGTAAGATGTGACTGAGGCACAGGTCAGCTGCTTTGAGTGAGCTGCAGTGTAGTAGCTTGGGTGGATACAGGGGCAAAGTAGGCCAGCTAGTGTGAATCAGGCTGCAGGAAGACTTTCTGCTACAAGCAGAGCCAAGCTTTCTTGTCTCCAACAAATATTTCTGTTGAGACTCTGAGAAAACTCTGATTTCTGAGAAAACATTAACTCCTATGGCATGTACACCCATCTTGCTGGTGGTGGACAAGTTTTCAGCATGGACACTATTACCATCTGTTCTAAAAAAAAGATAAGGAAAACCCTGAACAAGCTGTCCTGAAAATCAGACAGGGTGGCTACTAAGGGAAAACAAAATTCTCCTCTGCCAGTCATTCATCAAGTGTCATCTTGTATGGACCTGACATGGGCATGGCAGTGTCTGTGTATGTACATCACTGAATGCTTTTGCTCTGCCACGAGGCCACAGCTCCTGCTGCTCTCTTGATTGATTATGCTTTACCTTGGTGTGCCATGGGCAAAAATATATAAAACATGCTGGATAGAGGCACTAGTTTATGCTCTGTATAAGGAATTTATAAGAAATACAGTACACATATCCACATGATATGTTATACTATTTCCATTTTATGTACAGAAATGGAAATTGCATGCATTTAACATTACCTTAAAACTATGATGAATATTAAATGACTGTACAACTATTTCAAATCAAAACCAAAAGAAATATTTCTACCAATATAACAAAGCCATATTCATAGGTATACACCTTTGGACATCTTTTTGTATCCCTTCATGCTCATACTTCCATAGTTTTAATCCAAATTTCTTCCTGTTCTAGTAGTTGTACTTACCTGACATCTGATCGTTTGACTACAATAAACTATTTCCAGATTATTGTCATCTGTACAACACCACAAAACCAACCTCTTGCTCAATAGCTCTCTTTCATAACCATGGGTCATACTCTTAGGTCTGCCTGGGTTTCCAGGGAATTGGTATGGAGATCTAGCCTCTCTCAGCTACACCTGAACCAGGTGCTAGAGGCATTAACAAGCCCCATCCTGTAGCGGGTGAGTTTCTCTCTTCAGATCCTGACAAAAATACTTGGTTATTCTGTTCAGAGCCTTCTGGTCCCTTTGATTTAGTAACTAACAATTTCCATAAGCCATTTGAGGGTTTAGGGAAGGTTTTCATTCCCAGATTTCAATCAGATTAACTTACCTGTGTTTCTGTAGTCTTTCAGCCGTAAGCATCTCACAAAAAGAAACTGTCAGACTGAAAATTCCTGGTGAGGACCTTATATAGGGTTGAGCTCAACACACAGCGGAAATTTGTCTCTCATTGCCCAATCAGATTTGTGTCAAAACCAAGTAACGTTTTCGATCCAACTTTCTTTCCTTCCGTAGAGTGAGGATAAGAGAAACAGAGGCACAGGCAGAGAGAAAATATGTGTTTGGATTTCCCAAAAAAAGGGGAAATGACTGCTAAATATATGACTAATTTCCCCCTTTTCTGACGAATGGTAGCTTGCATGCACTCATGTCTTCACATGACTATTTCACACACTACCTCAAGTAAAAAATTTCATGGGTAACAAAAGGTGCACTGCAGCACAGTCAGCAGCTAAATAATTGCAGTCTTCACATTTTGTGGTTTATCAAGCTGTTCATAAATCTTCTGTGATTTCCCAGATCCCTGGTGAATCACAAATGTGCTGATTCCCCTTTCTTCTCATAACATCCATTTTAGTGTGACAGCCTGCATTAAGGCTCTCTTGCAATGCGGTATAAAGAAGGAACAGCAAAAGCAAATTATGGTTTCCAGGCTCATGGGGAGGAGTAAGAAAACCACTATGAATTCTGGCAATTTGGCCTTTTACAAGAGGGTAATCAATTGAGGGGCTACAGTTCCCAGATAGACTAATATCCTTGGATACATCTAAGAAGGATCAGCAATTTTCAACAGTTTTCTTCAGAAGGTTTCTGCCCTAGCTTTCTTTTTATCCATAAAATATCTTGATCTCATGCAGCAGTGTGAGGACTGCTCAGGTTTCAGTTGTCCTTCAAGTTTCAGTTGTTTATCTGGAGGTGCAAAAGTTTGGTTTAGAATAACTCAGGAAGAAAGGAAAGAGAGCAAGAAATTTATATTTTTTTTAGTAGATGTCTGCTGAGAAGGCCACATCGTTTTGTGGTTAGCTATCACTGAGTATTTATAAACAGAAATGTGCAAGTCTAGCAGCTATATATATAGAGAAACTCTCTTAGGGAAGCTGGTGTCATTCTGTGGTTTCGCTCTGCTGATGATTCATTGATACAGCTCAAGATGCTGGAGCGTAGCTGTGAAATTCCTGACTTGAAGACCAGACTATTCCCCATACGTCTCACTCGTTGCTCATCTCACTAGATAGATATTTCCCACACCAGGGCTACATGCAGTTCCTTGCCACAGTTGGGTGGATTTTGCTGTTCTTGGACATGCCAATAAAAAAATCAAAATATAAAGAAATATCTAGTCTTCTGGAAGTTCCTTGCAACAGGAACTTTCAAAAGGCCTCCACAAGCAAGTTGTGTCAGTCCATTATCCCTAGTCAATGGAAGGGGAAATGGAAATTCAGGCATCATGGAATGGGGATTACACCATTTCTACAAGGGGCAGTTAATGTGCCCGCTTCTTGTAGCAGCTCCCAGATTTTGCTGCTTCTCCTGGAGGAATTTACCCTGTTATAGTGGCTCTGTGGATGATAATGTTTGGCATCCATGAACTGCAATCTCTTGGACTTCATAATTTATTCTGTTATCCAGTTTGGCTAAGCAAACTTCGTGCAATTAAAAACTGAACTAAATTTCTCTGGTTCACATAAGAATAAGGTGACAAGGTATTAAGAAATACTGAATGTTGAAAGCTGACTGGCAAGCAGATGCAAAGTAAACCACAACTATTGCACCAACACATGTTCTTGGGTTATGGATATGAGCAAACCTGGTTTTAATAATTTATAATACCCTTGTGCACAGTTCCAAGATGAGGTCTTGAAGAACAGAGAATAGGAAAGAAATGGAACTCTTCAACTCTGAAAATCACCAAATAACTGGGACAAAAAGAGAAAAACTAAACAGAAGGATTAGCACAATGCACAACAGACTCCAAGAATACAAGAATTTGCATGCTTAGCCAGAGGAATAAGTGCTGACATACCCCAGTTATGTATGACAAAGTGGGAGAAACAGAAGGCGATGCGCCAAGGGATTCACTTTGTCATGAGGGAGTGCTAGTTTGGCCAGAGCAGCCACGGCTGGGTTATAGATTGTCTGACCACTACAGGTTCCTGGGATTTCCAAAGACCCTTTCACTGCAATAGAAAGCAGGCACACTTGAAAAATAATTATGCTCTCAAAAGCTGAAAAGGTCAGGGAGGAGGAGAACCCTCAGTGTAGAAATCAACAAGGTACAAGGGACAAAGTAATGTCTAGAGAGGCCTAGAGTATCTTTGCACAGGTACACAGCCATAGATTGGTGAAATAAAGAAATTATTTCTGAAAAAGTAGGGTTTGCTGGATTTTATTTAAAGTAGAAAACCATCCCTGAGCACAGCCTACTTGTTACATGATGCTATGTGGAAAAGCAGTGATGGAGTACTGTTTGCAAAGCTGAGTTTGTTGAAGCAGTAAAGTGATATTGCTCTCCCTGAACTGAGGAGGATAATCTAAACTACTAAATAGAGACACTCTAAACATCAATGCATACTAGTGTATCTCTCAAATGACAATAAAAGTAAAAAATATCTCTTACTGCTCTTCCTTCTCTTGTGGATAAAACAGTGCATAGATACACTGAGTGTTGATCAGGGATATGGCTCAGGTTAGGGATCACAGAGTAAAAGAGCCTAGGGCTCCAGGGACCCTGGGAATGGAAAAGGCATGCCAAAAGGACCATAGAAGGGCCTCAACATTGCTGCCCCTATATCTTTCTCATCTGGGCCATCCACAGAACCATTCAGTTTGGAAAAAAAAACTCTAAGATTATCAAATCAATACCTTAACACAGCACCACCATCACTAAACCACATCCCCAAGTGCCACATCCACATGCCTTTTAAATCCTTCCAGGGATGGTGATTCACCATTTCCCTGGGCAGTATATTCCAAAGCCTGTCCATCCTTTCAGTGAAGATATTTTTCATAATATCTAATCTAAACCTTCCCTGCTACAACTTGAGGTAATGTCCTCTCATGCTGTCATTTGTTATCTGGGAGAAAAGACAAATCCCCAGCTTGCTACTTTGAGGTTCCTGCTTCTTTCCCATGCTACAGCCATCCCCTGTGCTGGGATGGAGCAAGCCCACAGTGCACAGCACCTGCCGTGCCATAGTGCAGGGCTCCAGGCAGGGCTGCAGCACCCACGGTCACTCCCACACCCAGGGCTGGGAGATGGGGCTAGCTGAGAGCCAGAAATGCCAAGAAGAACAGCAAGCAGACATTTCCCACAGCTTTGGTGTCTTCTCACACCATAGGCAGTGAGTCAGCAGGGGCACTAGGGACATGCTAGGAAAAAAACTAACTTAAGACTGCTGACTAGCTTTTTCTTTTCCACCAGTTCCAAAACCATAGTGTTTGCTTGCAATCCTGATCAGTCTTTTTTATATATGAAAAAACATAATGTGCTCTGTGGTCTTTCATGTGA